GCTCTCCTCTGCTCTGGGACTCCTGCCCCCACTATTCCCCTCCCGGGGCTGGGAACGCTCCCCTCTCTGCTCTGGGTCTCCTGCACCCCGTGCTCCCCTCCCGGGCATGGGACCGCTGTCCTCTCTGCTCTGGGATTCCTGCACCCCGTGCTCCCGTTCTGGGCCTTGGACCGATGTCCTCTGCTCTGGGACTCCTGTATGCCCTGCTCCCCTCCCGGCCCTGGGACCGCTCTCCTCTGCTCTGTGTCTCAGGTTTGGGAACTGTGTTGAGCTCCAGGCATCAGCCGCCTTCAACTGGAATGACCAGCGCTGCAAGACGCGAAACCGCTACATCTGCCAGTTTGGTGAGTGGCCCAGCTTCTCTCCTCTCTGCTCGCCCGTAACCCGCTCTGCGTGGGGAGGGGCATGCAGGCATTGAGCCAGCTGCTGGCTAGTGCTTGGGTGGCAGGCCTGTGCGCTGTGCTAGCGCACCTTAGCCCTGACCTGCAGCATCCCAGACAGCTCTGCCGATGCCCCTCGGCCCCCACATACAGCCCCTGCTGGGCTCCCTACACATACGGCTCTGCCGATGCCCCTCGGCCCCCACATACAGCCCCTGCTGGGCTCCCTACACATACGGCTCTGCCGATGCCCCTCGGCGCCCACATACAGCCCCTGCTGGGCTCCCTACACATACGGCTCTGCCGATGCCCCTCGGCCCCCACATACAGCCCCTGCTGGGCTCCCTACACACACAGCTCCGCCGATGCCCCTCGGCCCCCACATACAGCCCCTGCTGGGCTCCCTACACATACGGCTCTGCCGATGCCCCTCGGCCCCCACATACAGCCCCTGCTGGGCTCCCTACACATACGGCTCCGCCGATGCCCCTCGGCCCTCACATACAGCCCCTGCTGGGCTCCCTACACATACGGCTCCGCCGATGCCCTTCCACCCGAAATGCCAGCCTTGGGCTCCCCACACACAGCTCCGCCGGTGCCCCCCATCCCAACATGCAGGCCCTGTCCTGGGCTCCCAGCTATTCCAGGCCTGGGTAGCCCAGGGCTGTACTCTAGTTAGTGGTCTTGGCAGAGAATGAGCCACCTCTTACCCGTAGAGTTGGTCCCTGCAAGAGGCATGGTGGCCGGGCAGCATGGAAGTAGTTTGCACGGCTGCTGCCCTTCCTGTGCCCAGTCTGGTTAACAGGCCCCTGGCCTCGCTGCCCAGCACCGCAGTCACCAAGAATTCATTTCAAAGTTTTAAAAGCCCTTTTCTGGATCCGAACTGTGCCACGGGAACTCATGCACGTTGCCCAGGTCTAGGCTGGTTCGCAGGAGGGCGAGCGTGGCTGGGTGCCGGCTGGCACACACCTGCCTGGTCTGTCCCCATTACCCAGTCTGGGTGCGCTAGCTAAGCTAGCTACATAGTGCCCAATTACCATTTTATCTAGGGCAGCGGTTCTCAAACTGTGGGTCAGGATCCCATTTTAATGGGGTCGCCAGGGCTGGCTTAGACTTGCTGGGGCCCGGGGCCAAAGCCTGAGCCCCACCACCCGGGACCGAAGCCTGAGGGCCCCAGCCCTGGGCGGCGGGGCTCAGGTTATAGGTCCCCCGCCTGGGTCTGAAGCCCTTGAGCTTCGGCTTTGCCCCCCACCTCCCGGGGCGGTGGGGCTCGGGCTTTGGCTTTGGCCCCCCCAGGCGATGCAGCGGGGCTCAGGCAGGCTCAGGCTTCAGTCCCCCCAACTGGGGTCGTGTAGTAATTTTTGTTGTCAGAAGGGGGTCGTGGTGCAATGAAGTTTGAGACCCCCCCGATCTGGGGTAATGTGTGCATTGTGCCTCCTCTAGGGGCTAGTGCACATAAAGGATAACAGCCTACTATTGCTGTTAGCTCATGGAGTTAGTCCTCTGGCTCCCCTAGTAAGGCTCTGTGTTTGGTGCTGATGACGTGCTGGGGTGGATCTGGGGGTTTTGTCGTTATGGGGCCCGGCTGGCTGGCCGTGGGCTGCGGGCCCGACCCTGGCGGGGTAGCACTAATGCTGGCTGTGATCCTTTGCAGCTCAGGAGCACATCTCCCTGTGGCAGCCAGAGCCCTGAGCCCGCACAGCTTCCAGCTGCTCAGTGGTGGGCGCGGCGTCGCCTCCAGCCCGCACGAAGCTTGAGAAAGAATCCGCTGCCACTGTTCTGCCAGGTCCTCTCCAGCCCCCCTGGGCGCTCAGCCCATCCCAGCCACGCTGACACCCCTCCCTGAGGGCCGGGCGCCGGAGGTGGCACCAGGACCTGCCGAGCGCTCAGGGAGAGAGCGCTTCCCGGGCTGCCCTTCCAGCGGGGACGTGGGGGGGCCAGATCAACCTGCACAGCTGCTCCGGGGGCCCTGACTCCACCAGAGCCATCGCGGTCGAGCCAGGTGGAGGTCTCTGGGGTGCATCCCAGCCCCTTGTCCACAGAACAGCCCCGAGCTCCTGTAAAATAGCCCCTCTCTCACACGTGGCCGCTGGGGCAAGGGCAGCTGCTTTGTGTCCCCACCCCCTTCCTCCGGGATGTGATGGCACGTCAGTGCAGGGAGCCCCTCGCTTCCCCCGGCTGGGCCAGAGGGAGCAGGGCACCCCCCGGTGGTTACCCCCAGTCCATAGCTCTGCGGCCCTGAGACGGGAGTCGCTGGCGGGAGTGGACTGGGGAGCTGAGTGGCACAGAGCAAGAGGGTGCCTGTCCCGCCTAGAGCTGGCAGTGCTCTGCCAGGGCTGTGGGGTGCGAGGAGGGGACCGGGGCCCCAGGAATCACAACCGAGATGTGCCCTACGAAGAAGGCAGATGTGGCTGCCGGGTCTAGGCCTCGGTGTCCAGTCGCTAGCCAGGGCCATCCCGCCTCCCGCTGCAGCTCGGCTGCAGGAGGCAGCCTTCCCCGGGCAGGCAGGTGCAGTGTGGCCACACTCTCGGCCCCACGCCCCTTCGCTGTGCCAGTCAGTCCCACCACGGCTCAGCGCTACCGAAGCCGGCTAGCTCCGGTACCGACCCGCTAACCTAGCAGAGCAGGGCTCTGAGCTCCCCTAGGCCTAGAGGCTTTTCGGTTCAGGCCTGTTCTTTCGCCCTGTGTAGCATGCGCTCCGGCCGGGGGCACTGTCTAGGCGACACGAATTCTTCCCGCTGTTTGAGAGCTGGGGCTGTTTTAATAAAGCCATCTGTCCCTCCTGCTGCGCATGTCCCTGTCTCCAGCTGCGGGGCCGGCCCGGGTGAGCGGCTGGGAGCCACCCGCCTTGGCGTGGGGCAAAAGGAGGAGAAAAATGGGGAGTGGTGGAAGCAAAAGCCAGGGGCCCTCCTCAGCCTGTCACCTGCTCCCTGCTGCAATCATCTCTCCTACCACTTCCCACTGGCATCCTACGCTGGGACAGGGCTCCCCCTCCTGCCTGCCATCCCAGGGCTCTGCTCTCCTGCCCCCTAAGCTGTCCCAGCTGGGCAAGGAACCGCTCTGCAAAGAGCTGTGTGTGGCCAGGGCCCCAGGGAATGGGAAGGCCCCAGAGCACAGCAGACCTCGGCTGGGAGATCGTGAAGTACCCTGCAAAGTAAAAGAAAGCAAGGGGGCTTGGGCCATTTTCTGCTGCTGTGAGGGGGTGGGGGAGGGGCTCTGCTTGGGTTTTATACTGGAAATTCAGAGCCTGTCTGGCCAGGCAGCCTCGCGGGCGACTGGGGAGCTAGTGTAAACGAGGGAGGGAAAGACGAGGTTTAGTTATTAGCATTGGGTGGGGGTGTCTAGGATCAGGCCGTGGTGCAAGGTGCTGTACATACACACAACGCGGCCTCAGCCCCCAGGAGCTCACGGCTGAAGGATTTAAAACCTCTGGTGTTTGCCACCAGCTGCTGCACTCACTGCCTCGGGAACGTTTTGGAGAAGCTGTTTTGGGAGAGATTCCACGCACACACTGCATATCCCCAGGGACAGCCACCAGCTCCTCCGGCCAAGCTAACCCCGTCGCCGGCTATTTCGAAGCAGGAAAGGGCCGAAAGTTCAATTTAAAAAACCCAAACTAAACCTGCTGGCCCAGCTAACGGTGACATCGGCATTAGTCCAGCCCAGTGCCTGGCTCACTGCCTGGGGGTAGGATCCCGGGGGGGGGGGGGGGGGGGGTATATGATGAAGTTGTGGGTAGGGTCAGGGGAAATTTTTTTCATCTGAAACATTTTTCCCCTCTGAAAAATGCAGCTTCAGGTCAACCGAACCGTTTGGCGAATTCACGGTGAACTTGCCGAATCAGTCAGGGGAAAAGCCCCGCACCCTCGGCAAAGATTGCCAAAAACCTCACATTTTCCCCCACGCCAACATGATTTTTAGATGAAATTTCCTTCAATGTTATTACAAAAAATTAAAAACCTTTTAAAAGGTTCATAAAATAAATGAAACATTTTGTTTGGTCTGACCCCCCCCCCCAACCTTTCCATTTTGGGTCACCCTCCCGCCAGCCCCCCATGCAGCCAGGCTGCCCCCTGCATCTTGCAAGGACTCAGCGCGAACACCAGCACTTCACCGTTTAGAACGCGCTGCACAAACGTTAACCAAATCATTCTCTGTCGTTTCCTTGTGCGGGGGGGGGGGGTCCAGAGGAGAGTGCAAAGGTGCCAGTGGGGGAACCCCACATGGGAGCAGGGGAGCTACCCCAAAGGAGCAGGGGTCCTGGTGTCTATCAATAAAAATGCAGAAAAATACACGTGACGGGATCCCCCCAGGGTGCAGCCTGGGACTGTGGGATCGCTGTGCCCCCTGAACTCTTCCCCATCCTGGGCTGTCTCTTACAATGCCTTGTTAGGGACCATCAGCAAACCCCTCCAGGCACCGTGATCACTCAGCACAACCACATGTGGAGCCCCACACCCAGCTAGATTGCATGAATGCTCCCAGAGCCGCTCATGAATCACCCAGAAAAAGGCATCAGAGCCAAATCCCCCCCCAGCTCCCCACACTGTACCCCAGGAATATATCATCTTGCACGGCTCAAGACAAGCAGTGCAAATGTATTAATTGGTTCCCCATGTCATCAATGGAAAGTGGATATACACCAGCCTTTGTACCCTGAGCAGATTTGCCCCACACTTCATACAAACTCACTGGTAAAGATAAACAGTTAAAGAAATGTATTGACTGTAAAAGGAAGATTTTAATTGATATTAAGTGACAGGCAAAAAGTCAGAGTGGTTAACAAAATAAAATAAAATATAAGCACAGAGTCTAAACTCTCAACCCTATTCGGTAGCATCTGGATGAAGCACAATTCTCCTAACTTCACAGGCATGAATGATACACATCTATGGCTAGAGAACTGTCTTCTGGCAGATCGTAACCTTTCCCCTGCTACCTTACAAGCCATGCTTTGTATGTACGACCACACTTATATACAGATGAGGAATACGGGAGTTCCAGGACGCTCCCCCAAGGTACAGAATGTCACAACACACCCAGGAAGATGTCAGTGAATTGTTTCTCACTAGACCATTGTTCACCCTGCCCCACTAGCCCTTAGGGCAGCCTCCACCTCTGTCCAGTGCAAACCCGGCTTCAGGGCTGGGAATCCAGCACCGCCACCAGCCTTTAAAACACCCTGTTTAAAGGGACACGTTCTCCCAAGGCAGCGGAACAGTCCAATGCCTCACAGGGATGGGGGAGTAGGACCCGGCGCAGGGGGCATCAGGATTTTTAATACCACCCTCTTGTGAAGAGTGATAATGCAAGGAAATGACCCGTGTGTGGACTGCAAGTCGGAGCTGCTGACCCTCCTGGTTGCCAATCCAGATCAGAGGTCCTGATCCGACTCCCCATTCAGAGAACTGGAGTTTTCCCACTGGGCTCTGGAGCCACCAGAATGGTTTCCTACATGCCGGCCAGTGCGTCTGAGAGCGCAGCGTGTGCGTCTCCTCTTTAACAGGCCGCAGCAGCGCTGAGAACGGATGGCTGCTGGCTCAGTTCTCAGCAGCGGCCAGGTGCAGGACACAGAAAGCAAAGGCAAGGCAGGGCCCTGGCTGCATACACCACAGGATCCACACATTAGACAGGGTGATGATAACAACACCCAGCCCATGGCTAGCACTTTTCATCAGCAGATCTCAAAGTACTTCACAAAGGGGGAGGGGGGGGCAGTAGCCTTATCATTTTACACATGGGGAAACTGAGGCACCAGCAGAGCCAGGAACCAAAGCCAGCTCTCCCAAATCCTAGTGCAGAGCTCTAGCCACTCAGCCACGCTGCACCTTTGACTCCAGTTTCTCCTATAGCTACCTGCAAAGCGCAGGGTTCGGCGTAGATGCCCTGATAGGAGGGCATTAACTCCTGCAAGAAATACATGGGCTCCTGCACTCAGGTCTTGCTGTTCCCTGCTGACATGGCCAACAAGGGGGCAGTTCAGGCCAAGTGCACTGAGAGCTGAGATCACCCGCTGCCCACAGAAGGGGACAGCGGTTGGTCACTAACTCCTTGGCCAGGATTAGAACCGGTGCACCAGAAGGGAAGAGCGCTCTGTGGCACGTGGCACTAGCCACCCCAAGGGCCTGCATCTCCCTGCTGAGAGCGCTTCCTAGTAAGAACCCCAGCGCCCCCAGCAATGGGCCTGTAAAACCAAGCCTCCATCCCAGCAAGCCCATGAGAGCCAGGCAGCAATTAACAAAGGGCCAGACCCAAACAGCAGGTGGCTAGGCCAGAACTTCCCTGTGAAGGGCCCAGTTCTGCTCTCACTCGGGTAACGCCACTGAAATCAGCAGCTGTTCCACCCCCCAGTGCATGGCAACAGCCCCAGCCCCTCTGTCTGTCGCAGGGGCACCCACCCAGCCTCAGGCAGGACTGGGGTGGCACTGGCTTGGGCACGATGAAACTGCATCATCTGGGCACAGAGCTAGGCAGTGCTGGGCCCGTCCGCTGGATCTCGGGGAACGCCTGGGGGAGGAGAGGCTCCTCTCTGCCCGTGGGGACTGAGAACAAGGGCTGGCATCCCCCTCCCCCCTCCCCCCCCAGCCCTTGCTGTCCGTTCCCTTGGCCCCCATGGTGAGACCTGCAGTGATTCTCCAGGCAGGGACACGGCCCCGCCCAGCTGGGGTGAGGGACTGACCTGGAGGGGCAGGGGGTGGCTGCCCGGTGTGAGCGCGACACACAGAGGGCCTGGGGGCAATGCCCAGGGCGCCCCAAGGTGGGGGGATGCCCAGGGAGGTT